AATACTGACATCTATTACTGATATTGGCGATATTTAACACGTCTCAGCTTGTCATGACCTTTGAATTCCTGCGAAATTGCTCAGTTGTAGGAGTGAGCCACTGTAATTTCACTATAATAGAGCTTTCACGAGGTGGCATGTACAACGAAGCATCACATGGCACCATTTTATGCCCCCGCAGGCCTAACTGCGCTCTTATTTGAAACTTACAAAGAAGTAATTAAAAAGGCAAACGAAAACCACTGGGTGGACAGGAGTGACGGAAAGGGACCTCTGTGCCGGATGATTTCATGTGAATGGCTGTTTCAATGAATGCTGTAGTACGGATTGCAGTTTCTAGAATGAGAAGCAGCTCTTGCAACCATTGGCTATCGATTTACTGCTAAACAAACTCTTGAGCATTCACAGAAGTCACAGGAGCCAAACGGCTCTTTTCCGTTGTCGATCCAGGTTATAGACAAACAAATGAATAATCTGGTTAATCTCATTAGTCGTATCGTCTAATGCTAACATGACCAATATGAGTATTACACTAGTTCATAGTGGACATACAAACGATTAGCTCTATTGACAACATTTAATTACCGTCAGTCGTCGACGTGACTCCTGTTCTTCGCAGGACCAACTCAACGTTTTTTGGTACTGTAAGGTGCCCAAATCATATATGATAGATTGAGTGAAGGTCACATGAAGGCCCTTTATGTTGATTATTAGGTCTTGATAAGGTCCGAAATCAACCAGTACAGCTTCGTACGTTTGTGATGTAAAAATACCGTACTAGTAATCTACTGGGTCAAGCGTACGGTGAGAAGTCCTCCACGAGAAGGGATGTGCTCGGCTGTTGAAGGAAGAGGTTCTACTTGCTCCGATAAAAATGTTGTTGATTGTAAAATTTGAGGATGCCCCCTACAAGGGCTGAGAATTGGTGTTACTATCAGGAAATACTAGCAAACTCTTGGATGTTAGACAAATATAACTATGCAGATAAGTTCATCCCCCCCCCCTCCTTAGCACGTCCCCATTCCAAGCTGGCCATAAACCTTTCGATTGGCTAGCAAGCTCCAGTTGGTAGTAACGGTGGAGTTTCATCGAATTTAATCCACCTGATTTTCAGACCAGTGCCTAAGTAGGAGTGATGAACTCCATTGCAGTAGCTCCATAAAAGAGTTTATTATTCTTTCGCGGTTCCGCAGCTCCTTGTACTCTCTGTGTTACTTTTGTATTTCTGTAACTGTTACGACCTACTTGTAGTCTTCGTGACAGCTGTTTTGATCTCGGTCAGCGGGTATAGCATTGCTTGCGAGGTTCCCATACTCAATCAGCCATGATACAGCAACGTGAATGTAAAATGATGGTGTCAGTACGACCACCCGAAGGATGGTCTCGGTACGATCCCTCCACCTAAAAGAGTGTCTTGGCACAACCCTCCCTCCCTTCCCTAAAACCTACCCACCGCTTTCCTAGAAGCTCCCAGCTTCCTACCAGTTCTCCCGGAATTTCCCCCTTTTCCCACTTTTTCACCCAGAAATTTTCCGTCGAGCTGGGTGGAGGGGGCAACTATGTACTATTTTCAACTATCGGAAATAGTAGTAGTAGTAGTAGTAGTAGTAGTAGTAGTAGTAGTATTTAGTATAGTTGCATAGTACTTTGGCGGCGCCACCAACTAGTGGGGGGAGGGGTGGGGGTGAGAATCGGTAACACTTACAAAGTTGCTTGGGAGTCATAATCTGATGCTGTTTTACCTTCACAAGAGTTTACAGGTCACTAGGTCAACGGAAAGCAGCAAAATGCCCCTCCAACGCAAGCTGCGCCCTATTTAATTTATGGTCCATCCTTTTTCTCTTTTTTATCTGAATCATCCCCAATATTACTGGTTAATCATCGTGCAGTTGCTCGATGCACGATTGTTATCCATGGTTGGCTGCAAGCAACCGTATTCAGAACAGTCTTCGTATTGCGCTTTCACTTTTCATGCTATTTTTTCGTGTTTTCTCCTTTCCATT